AAAATTTTTTTTTTACCACATGAAATGTTAATTTTAATACACACAAACTGAAAAAGGCATGCACAATTAAATGACACTTACTTTTATTGAAGATCTGGTGATGATTGATGGGATGGGAGGAGGGGAGAGAGTGTGTTAGTGTTTAGAAGGGGAATCCCCTTCCATTAGGACTTGAGGTAGTAAGTCCTTTTCTGGGGTTACTTCCCTTCTTCTTTTAATGCCACTAGGGCCAGCTCAGAGTCACTGGACTTCTTTCGCACAAGATATCTGTCCATAGTGGCCTGTACCTCTCGTTCCTTTATGACTTGCCTAAAGTGTTTCACAACATTGTCAGTGTAATAATCACCAGCACGGCTTGCAATAGCTGTGTGAGGGTGATTTTCATCCATGAAGGTTTGCACTTCAAGCCACTTAGCACAGATTTCCTTTATCTTTGTAGTAGGCAACTTCTTCAATTTCTCTCTCCCCTCCTCTGAACCAGTTTCCTCAGGTCTGGCCTCTTCCTCTGAAGTTGATCTATCAGCTCATCAGTGGTTAGTTCTTCATTGTCCTCCTCCACCAACTCTTCCACATCCTCCCCACTAACCTCCAACCCCAAGGACTTTCCCAATGCCACAATGGATTCCTCAATGGCACAGGATTCTCAGGGTTAGCCTCAAACCCTCTCAAAATCCCTTTTGGTCTACACATTCTGGCCACAGTTTCTTCCAAGCAGAGTTCAAGGTCCTCTTGTCACTTCCTCCCAAGCCTTACCTATAAGGTTTACACAATTGAGGATATTAAAGTGATTCCTCCAAAACTCTCTTAGAGTCAGTTGAGTTTCTGAGGTCATTACAAAGCACCTTTCAAACAGAGCTTTTGGTGTACAGTTTCTTGAAGTTGGAAATAACCTGCTGGTCCATGGGCTGCAGGAGAGGAGTGGTATTAGGAGGCAAAAAACTTCACCTTAATGAAGCTCATGTCCCCATAAAGTCGCTCTGCCACGTCTGTAGGATGACCAGGGGCATTGTCTAAACACCAGGAGGCACTTAAGTTCTAATTTCTTTTCAGTTAGGTAATTTTTCACATTGGGGGCAAATGCATGGTGTAACCAGTTATAGAGAAATTCCCTAGTGACCATGCCTTACTGTTTGCCCTCCACAGCACACACAAATTATCCTTGAGGACATTCTTTTGCCTGAACGCTCTGGGAGTTTCAGAGTGATACACTAATAAGGCTTCACTTTGCAATCACCAGTAGCATTGGCACACATCAACAAAGTAAGCCTGTCTTTCATAGGCTTATGTCCTGGGAGTGCCTTTTCCTCCTGAGTAATGTAGGTCCTGCTTGGCATTTTCTTCCAGAACAGGCCGCCTGTTTCATCACAATTAAACACTTGTTCAGGTTTCAGTCCTTCAGTTTCTATGTACTCCTTGAATTCCTGCACATATTTTTCAGCCGCTTTGTGGTCCGAAACTGGCAGCCTCACCATGCCTTATCACACTATGGATGCCACTACGCTTCTTAAATCTCTCAAACCAACCTTTGCTGGCCTTAAATTCACTCACATCATCACTAGTTGCAGGCATTTTTTTAATTAAATCCTCATGCAACTTCCTAGCCTTTTCACATATGATCGCTTGAGAGATGCTATCTCCTGCTATCTGTTTTTCATTTATCCACACCAATAAGAGTCTCTCAACATCTTCCATCACTTGCGATCTTTGTTTCGAAAACACAGTTGAACCTTTGGCAAGAACAGCTTCCTTGATTGTCTTTCTGGTGCCCACAATAGTAGCGATGGTTGATTGGGGTTTCTTGTACAGCTTGACTAGGTCGGCTATACGCACTCCACTTTCATACTTATCAATTATCTCTTTCTTCATCTCTATAGTAATTCTTACCCTTTGAGGTGTAGGGTTGGCACTAGAAGCTTTCTTGGGGCCCATGGTCACTTATTTTCCAGAAACAGCACCGAAAATACTGTAATAATACGAAATATTCCGAGTGTATGCTTGGATGTTACCGCGGAGGCTGGCTGGTAAACAATGGGACGGGGCGGCACATGTGAGGCTGGCTGAGGGCACATTGGACGCGTCTCGGACGAAAATCGGTAAGCGGGTTTTTAATCGGTATGCGCGGCAAAAATTTTGCGATAAAAGTAATCGTTATGCGGAAAAATCGCTATGTGATGCCATCGTTATGCGGGGGTCCACTGTATACGTTTTTACCCCTAACACTCAGTGTGCGTGGTATTAAAAAAATCTGGGACCACTTAGTACCTTGTGGGAGCACCAGTTCAAATGAGTGCCAGCTAGAGCAACCAGCGCAGCAAACACCTGGGAGTCACTGATTTCATGTAGTATTAACTCTCCCATTTTAAGAGGAAAGTGATTTTGACCCCGAGTTTAGTGGCTTTGAGGTGGATGTGGCCCTAAGTGGTTGATGAAATATCAAAAAATCTCGATAATAACCCATGTGCAACATTTGTGCAGCACCCTTTCAGAATGTCTTATAACCTATGCCCTTAGTGAAGAGAAACAATTCTGGCTGGCTGGCTGGCCAGCTGCGTGGCTGGCCGGCTGCTGGCCTGGCTCTATCTCCGTTTGTCTGTCTGTATCTATGTCTATCTTTGTCTGTCTCTCTGTCTCTGTCTATCTTTGTCTCTATCTGTCTGTCTCTGTCTCGCAGGTACACATAAATACAAGTATATATAGTGTAAATTATCTAGGATAACCCAAAAAATCCAGACAAAGTGCTATACTCTGCTTGAAGATATGAGTAAAGGTGATGACCCAGTCTTATGGCTCTCTCTGAGACAGAGAGCTAGACGGATAGACAGATAGACGGGAGCTTGACAGACAGATAAATTAGATGCATACCTGTTTGTGTACCTATGATAAACGATACGAGGGCTGATGTGGTGCAATCTTTTCTGATATCAGGTTGTATTACTGCACCCTGGCGTAGCCAACAATGACAGTCTTGGATGCGAGATGTGATGCCAGCTGAGCATGGGACGGTGGAAGGGGGAGAGGGTATGCTATATTAGGTAGTGGCCAGCTCACGGCAGAAAGAACACACAGACGACGATACCTACGATCTGAAAACGAGCAGAGCAGCCCCGAGAAGCAGACCGTCCTCAGCCCAAGCGGCATGAACGCCGATCCGCCCGAAGATCCAGACACGCCCCCGATCCCCTACGCCCGCCTAGACCAGCCAGCTCCGCATCGCTCCATCTCCTCCTCCTCCATCCTCCTCCCCTCCTCCTGCCTCCTCCTCACCTCCCCTCCTCCCCTCCCCTCCTCCTCCTCCTCCCTCTCTCCTCCTCCTCCTCCTCTCCTCCTCCTCCTCCTCCTCCTCCTCCCTCCTCCTCCTCCTCCTCTCCTCCTCCTCCCCTCCTTCTCCTCCTCCTCTCCTCCCTTCTCCTCCTCTCCTCTCCTCCTCCTTCTCCTCCTCCTCCTCTCCTCCTCCTTCCTCCTCCTTCTCCTCCTCCTTCTCCTCCTCCTTCTCCTCCCTCCTTCTCCTCCTCCTTCTCCTCCTCCTTCTCCTCCTCCTTCTCCTCCTCCTTCTCCCTCCTTCTCCTCCTCCTTCTCCTCCTCCTTCTCCTCCTCCTTCTCCCCTCCTCTCCTCCTCCTTCTCCTCCTCCTCCTCCTCCTCCTCCTCCTCCTCCTCCTCCTCCTCCTCCTCCTCTCCTCCTCCTCCTCTCTTCCTCTTCCTCTTCCTCTTCCTCTTCCTCTTCCTCTTCCTCTTCCTCCTCCTCCTCCTCTTCCTCTTCCTCCTCTTCCTCCTCCTCCTCCTCTTATCATCATCATCTACTTCCACATATCAAAAACATTGCTGGGATCTATAAATACTTTGTATATATTCCAAGACAATAGTAAATGACCAAGGCAGGTGTAAATGTCGATGTTGCTGTCACGTGAGCATCCAGGGCCAACTTCTCGGCCTCATATCTATTTAAAAAAAAAAAAAAAAACACTTAGAAAAATGTGCTCTTTATTTTCATTAAAAATAAACGATTTTTTTATTTTTCAAAATTTTCGGGGCACTGGGGTAGTGAACGTATATATACGTTTGGACTGTTTACGGGTTAAAATGGGAGAGTTAATACTTCATGAAATCAGTGAATCCCAGGTGTTTGCTGGGCTGTTTGCTCTAGCTGGCACTCATTTGAACAGGTGCTCCCACAAGGTACTAAGTGGTCTCAGATTTTTTTAATACAGTGCACAATGAGTGTTATGACGCATTCTATGCTGACAAGGCATCTCAGGCCATTCATGCTATATTTGAAGGCAGGAAAAATAAAACATTTATATTCGTTTGGGGCACTAGCAGTCAGAACGTAGTTGGACGTTTACGGGTTAAAATAGGAGTCAAAGTGGATGAGGTTGCCAGTGCGTGAATTGCGTCTAGTTCACTATCTTTTTGCATGCATAATTCTCCAAGTTTTCCATTGGTTTTCGTATAATTGGTGTCATTAACTTAGTTTCTCAGAAAAAATCTTTCTTTGTAACTCTTAAATGTATTTTGTTTGGTCTTGTTCTTCTATAGATACTACTTCTTAATATTACTTGTTCCCAATATAGTTTTGCTAGTGCAGTATTCCAATTATTCCACTGTAGTTATTATTTTGGCCATAGCACTGTAGACTTTACAGTTGTAAATTCATAGGATTACAATTATTTTTATAATGCAGTTTATGTGAAATAGAAATATGAAATCTAATTTGAAATTTTCATCTCTGACAGAATTTGCTTTTGTGTGTAAGGGGGTAGGAGTTGCATTAGAAAAAAGAAATTGCATTTTTGTTGTTGATGATAGTAATTATTGTTATTTAGGTGCTTGTATAATATAAATTAAGTTTCTTGTTTACTCATACATCACTTTTTTGTGCAGAAGTGCAGTATAGTATTTGATGTCTTCTTGCATAGTAATGACCAATTTATTTCTTGCCATACAGTAAGAAATATTAGTCTGTTCCTGACCTTGGCTAATGAATTAATTTCCTGCCATACAGTAAGAAGCGTGAGTCTGTTCCTGACCTTGCACCACTGTTGTGGAACTCGTTTGGTACCATTGCTGCACTGCTCCAAGAGATTATCAATATCTACCCAGCTATTAATCCAGCCACACTTACTGCCCATCAGAGCAATAGGGTCTGCAATGCTTTGGCTCTTCTTCAGGTAAGTGTCATTTACAAACCGGTCTTTCTAGCATCAACATTGATTTGACCTTGGTATTTGAGCTATTGAGTTTGTGAACCTACAAATGCACCTTTGGTGTCATATTGTTTTTTTCTGTCGTTCATAGAAAAATAAAAGGTGGCTAGTTGTGATCATTAGCCAACAAGTTCAGTCCTTCGTATGCATGGTAGTCAGTTCACTTTGGCTATAGTGAGAGTTAAGTGATGTACCAAGTCTTTATGATCATTTTGTTTGATAAGATGTAGTTGTTCATTAACTTCAGAATGGTTGGAAATTGGAGCAACTTTCATTAGAGTTATGACTTCTTTGGGGTTAGTGACTTGAAATACAGGTGTGGTATGGGCACTGGGATTTTATTTGAATGAGGCACAGGACACTTGGCTGAGGGCAGGTAAGATTATCAGAGAAAAAACTGAAGTCACAATGAATCATAATCAAACTGAAGATTGACAGTCTAAATTAATTTTTCATGAATTACACTAAAAACCCTGCTGTCAATTTCTGGCATGACCCTAATCCCACCTGATTTCAAAGGCACCATTGATTGCATGCCCCCTGCACTCTGCTCAGACTCATAGAACTTCATGTTCATCAAGAATTGCAAGAAATCACTATCACTTTCCTTAACCATTTCGCTGGCCATCACATAGAACTACGGCTTCGAGCTCAGGGTCCCTCATGAACTCAGCTCACTCAGATAATCTGTGAGTGGTAAGTTTTGGCCTAGATATGAAAGAAAGAGTCTATGCTATGAGCGTGCACCTTGTAAAAGAAATCCTCCAGCCCAATGTGGTGCATGATGGGAAAACAAAACTGCGACTGTGTGTATGGTTGGTTGGTAGTGCAGTCAGCACACATACTGAGTGTCTGTGGTTTGATCCCCAGCTGGGTGGAAACTTTAGGCATGTTTCCTTACACCTTCCCTTGTTCATCTAGCAGTAAGTAAGTATGTACTGTATGTGGGTGTTAGCTGACTGTTGTGGGTTGAATCCTAGTGGGGGGAGAGTAGTACGTATACCTTAGATAAGGCTGGGCTATGAAATGAGCCGAGGTAGGAATAACAGCTCTTAGTCTGTAAAATTTATGCAAAAAGAAAATATATAGAGATTTTGCTGTGTTTTCTCAGATGGTTTTTATGGTTTTATTGGTTATTTCTTGATATCATTTGATAGTATGGAGATATAATACTGAAATAGAGATGACTTTGTTTCAGGAATGGAAGTAACTTGAAATTAAAATCAAAGTAGCAGAAATATTTGATTTTTGCTGATATTCTAGAGGATGGGTAAGGCTCCTCTACAACCCCAAGTCTGTTTTATGGATTTTTAATAGGTCTGATTCAATTATTGGGACACTGTAAATTATGACCAGTGTTTCCTGGTTATATTTTATTATCCGAGAAATAGAATTAATCATCTATTTTTTGTGTGATGAGGATAAAATATTAGGTAACGAAAGATTGGATATCAGGTTGAAGGGAGAGAGTATGGAGGAGGTGAATGTATTTAGATACTTCGGAGTGGACCTGTCACCAGATGGGGGTCTTTGAAAAATGAGGTGAATCATAGAATTGACGAGAGGAAAAAGTTGAATGGTGCACTTAGGAGTCTGTGGAGACAAAGAACTTTGTTCATGGAAGCAAAGAGGAGAATGTATTAGAGTATAGTTATACCAGCGCTCTTACGTGGGTGTGAAGCATGGGTGGTGAATGTTCCAACAAGGAGAAGGCTGGAGGCAGTGGAGATGTCATGTCTGAGGGCAATGTGTGGTGTGAATATAATGCAGAGAATTCGTAGTTTCGAAATTAGGAGGAGATGCGGGATTACCAAAACTATTATCCAGAGGGCTGAGGAGGGGTTGTTGAGGTGGTTCAGACATGTAGAGAGGATGGAACAAAATAGAATGACTTTGAGAGTGTATATATCTGGAGTGGAGGGAAGGGGGGTAGAGGTCAGCCCAGGAAAGGTTGGAGGGAGGGGGTAAAGGAGGTTTTGTGTGCGAGTGGCTTGGATTTCCAGCACGCATGTGTGAGCGTGTTAGATAGGAGCGAATGGAGACAAATGGTTTTTAGGACTTGACGTGATGTTGGAGTGTGAGCCAGGTAATATTTATGAAGGGATTCAGGGAAACTAGCAGGCCGGACTTGAGTCCTGGAGATGGAAAGTACAGTACTGGCACTCTGAAGGAGGAGTGTTAATGTTACAGTTTTATAACTGTAGTGTAAGTGCACCTCTAGCAAGACAGTGATGGAGTGAATGATGGTGAAAGTTTTTCTTTTTTGGGCCACCCTACCTTGGTGGGAAATGGCTGATGTGCTAATAAATAATAAAAAAATGTATTTTTTTTTTGTGAATAAGAATTCAAAATGGAAAGCAAGTTATGGAAATGTTATTTTAATACCAGGAATGTCCACATTATTTATTATGGATTCTATTTTCAAATAGACTTTTTTTAATTTTATGCGAAATTGGTCAAATTATCGAATTCTGATCACTTGATAAGGTAGTTGAAATGGTTGAATGAACAGTTTCCTGTGCTCATTCAATAGAATGGAATGCATACTGACGAAATAGCTAAGAATTTGGTTGTCCTGAGCAATGGAATTGCCTAAAATTGGACTCAAAGTGGGCATAATTGCCTGTGTGTAAATTGTGCCAAGACTGCTAACTTTGCATTAGTGTAATTCCACAATTTTTCCACCAGATTTCAGACTTCCCCATGAAGATAAGAGGAAATAAACAAGAACAAGATCTAGTAAGAAAAGAGAAGAAAACCCAGAAGGGTGTGTGTGTATATACAGTGGACCCCCGAGTTTCGTGATTAATCCGTTCCAGAGAGTCTGCTGAATGGTGAAATTCATGATTGGCGAATCCATTTTCCCCATAAGAAATAATGGAAATCCAACTAATCCGTTTCAAACACCCAAAAGTATTAACAAAAATATTTTTTTTTAAAGATTAAATTTAGATTTAAATAGAAAAATCAATGACAAATAAATATAAAGCACTAATAAAATGGATAAATGAATATTTAACATCTCACTTAACCTTTATTGACTCTTGTTGGTTTGTGGAAGACAGGTAGGAGGCGAGAGGGAGGCGAGTTTATTATACTTCAACATGACGCTAATATCATCTCTACGGCTTATTTATCTATCACAATTTATCTAATATGACATATGGAGGTGGCAGCAGAAGCCACCAACACTATTCACACTTAAACAATGTATGTAATTTATGAATAAGAAATATTTACATTTTAATTTATAAAAAAGAAATATTTGCACTTACCTTGGAGGAGATGTTAGTTTAATTAGTTTGATGGAGGAGATGCTGGCAGAGGTTTAGGATGGTGGAAGATAGCAGGGCGGCCTATGTTCATTGGCCCTGTACACCTCCAACAACATTGGAGAGTTACATTCATGTCGTTTTTCTATCGCTTAATTGCTTAACTAACTTGCTGCGCTGTTAGTTCTACACTTTATCGCTGGCTGGCACTATAGCCTTTATCGATACCTGCTGCTTTAGTATTGTACATATCTTAGAATCACTGAATCACTGCAGAAAGCACATTCTCCCCTCTCTCTTCCTCCTCCACTTTGGTACTTTGCTACGAGTTTCTTCTTGAATTTTATTGTGTTTCTTTTCTTCTTTACCGAAGGGTTGGTACTAGGCGCTTTCTTTGGGCCCATGGTGGCTTATTTAGCAGTTGCAAGCACAAAAAACAATGGATTATTATGAAATGTATTGTATGAACCTGTGGAGTGATGGTCATTCGCTGGTAAACAGTGGCACACTGAGTTTGAATGGTGCAGGAGTCTGGCTTTGTGTGAGCGCTGATGGCTGACGTGTATGGGACGGTCACCGAATCACAAGGCTAATCACAGACCGCGAAGCTAAATTTTGGCGAAAAAAGTTGCTGAAAGTCGGATTTTACGAAAGTCACAGCCACTGAACGGTGGGGGTCCATTGTACGTGCTTGTACAGGCATGTGTAGTGTGACCTTAATGTAAGTAGAAGTAGCAAGACGTACCTGAAATCTTGCATGTTACGAGACAGAATAAAGACACAAGCAGTCCTACCATCATGTGAAACAAATACAGGCTTTCGTTTTACACTCACTTGGCAGGACGGTAGTACCTCCCTGTGTGGTTGCTGTCTACTAACCTACTACCTAGGAATGTGTACATGTTATTATAATTTAAAAACTGTTTTGGTATGAACAATGTTAGAAGAGTTTCTGAGTGTTGGAACTCCTGTACCTGTGGGTACTGGATAATATTCTAATTTTATATATTGGATAGTATTCTAATTTTATATACTCATTTTGCCTTACTGTGTTCCGCTAATACGGACATTTCAAATTATGACCAGAACTCGTTATACGGCTCTCCCCACCTGACTTTCTAATACAGCCACTGCGCTCCACCCAGTTTGTTTACATTTTCTGTGAGCTCCGTGAGCACCGCGTCTCTCCAGGATGTCTGGAAACTTTCTTAAATTTCAAGTGTTTTAAAGTTACTTCATGTTTTTTATTTAAAAAAAAATATATAAAAAACATGAAGTAACTTTAAAACACTTGAAGTTTATCATAGTAGGTTGGTAGACAGCAACCACCCAGGGAGGTACTACCGTTCTGCCAAGTGAGTGTAAAACGAAAGCCTGTAATTCTTTTACATGATGGTAGGATTGCTGGTGTCTTTAGTCTGTCTCATAAATATGCAAGATTACAGGTACATCTTGCTACTTCTACTTACACTGAGGTCACACTAAACATACATCTTCTTTCTTTCTTTCAACAAACCAGCCGCATCCCACCAAGGCAGGGTGGCCCAAAAAGAAAAACAAAAGTTTCTCTTTCCAAATTTAGTAATTTATACAGGAGAAGGGGTTACTAGCCCCTTGCTCCCGTTTATTTATACACACTCATCTGAGTTTTCTTTGATTTTATCTTAGTTCTTGTTCTAATTACTTTTCCTTTTATATTCATGGGGAAGTGGAATAAGAATCTTTCCTCCGTAAGCCATGCATGTTGTAAAAGTCAACTAAAGTGCCGGGAACAATGGGCTAATGACCCCTTTTCCTGTAATAATTACTAAAATGTTTTTTTATATATATTTTTTTTTTTTTTTCAACAAGTCGGCCGTCTCCCACCGAGGCAGGGTGACCCAAAAAAGAAAGAAAATCCCCAAAAAGAAAATACTTTCATCATCATTCAACACTTTCACCACACTCGCACATTATCACTGTTTTTGCAGAGGTGCTCAGAATACAACAGTCTAGAAGCATACACATATAAAGATACACAACACATCCCTCCAAACTGCCAATATCCCAAACCCCTCCTTTAAAGTGCAGGCATTGGTGTGCAGGTACACATTAAAATCACCAAAAGTGTCTTATTAGTCTTGATGCCATGTTAACCCTTAAATGGTCCAAACGTATATATACGTTTTTTCAACATCTGAAAGTATGTAAAAAAATGTAGATCTTCTTTTTTGTTTTACATTTGAAAACGTGTAAAAAAAATTTTATCTACATTTTTTTTTTTTGTTATATTTGAAAATATGTAAAAAAAAGTAGATCTACTTTTGTAGCACTACGAATTTGAATGTCAATCTCTTTGGACCGTTTAAGGGTTAATAATAATAGTAATTTTTTTTTTTCAACAAGTCAGCCGTCACCCACTGAGGCAGGGTGACCCAAAAAGAAAATACTTTCATCATCATTCAACACTTTCACCACACTCACACATTATCACTACTTTTGCAGAGGTGCACAGAATACAACACTTTTGAAGTATATACGTATAAAAATACACAATATATCCCTCCAAACTGCCAATATCCCAAACTCCTCCTTTAGAGTGCAGGCATTGTACGGTACTTCCCATTTCCAGGACTCAAGTCCAGTTATATAAAATAACCAGTTTCCCTGAATCCCTTCACTAAATATTATCCTGCTCACACTTTAACAGTTCGTCAGGTCCCAAATACCATTTGTCTCTATTCACTCCTATCTAACACGCTCATGCACGCTTGCTGGAAGTCCAAATCCCTTGCCCACAACACCTAATAATAATAATAATAATTTTTTTTTTCAACAAGTCGGCCGTCTCCCACCGAGGCAGGGTGACCCAAAAAAGAAAGAAAATCCCCAAAAAGAAAATACTTTCATCATCATTCAACACTTTCACCACACTCGCACATTATCACTGCTTTTGCAGAGGTACACAGAATGCAACAGCTTAGAAGCATATACGTATAAAGATGCACAACATATCCCTCCAAACTGCCAATATCCCAAACCCCTCCTTTAAAGTGCAGGCATTGTACTTCCCATTTCCAGGACTCAAGTCCGACTATATGAACATAACCGGTTTCCCTGAATCCCTTCACTAAATATTACCCTGCTCACACTCCAACAGATCGTCAGGTCCCAAGTATCATTCGCCTCCATTCACTCCTATCTAACACGCTCATGCACGCTTGCTGGAAATCCAAGCATAATAATAATAATATGCATTAATAATCAGTCTGAGGTGCATTAAATGTCGTATATTACGTTAATATAAACATTTTCATTAATCCATTTGTGTTATTTTTTTCAGAATTATATTATAAACATGTTACATAACATAAATATGAGAATACCATAAATATGAGATGTTACGTGTATGAATAAAAAACAGACGCGTTCGTCTGCTTGTTTGCATAACTGCATCTCTCTCCTCTCTCATTTGCTCGTTCTCTCTCTCTCTCTGTCTTTTATTCGTTTTACCTTGTTTACTCACCTTTCACCCTACATTAAGACTACAAATATTTTAAGGTAAGTAATGAGTGTATTGTGTGTGTATTTTACTTTTTATTGTTTTTAATTCCTAGTTCTATTTCTTTCTTAATATATGCTAGTGTAAACTTGTTATCTGGCATTTATATGCATTTATAAGTGGAAAAAATGGCGTTCTGCTTTTTGGCGATGTTCGCTTTCTGGCGGTAACCTAGAACCTAACCTGCTGTATAAGTGGGGCCCTACTGTACTTATATATTCACTAACGTGGAAAACAACATAAAACATTGATTGTGTCCACATTATGTTAATATGCTAGAATCCTCATTACCTATAATCATAAACCTGTAATTCTTTAAACAATTAAACTTGACAAAAGCCATATAGCATGTACTAATAGGATGTTCAATTCTCTTGTATTTATTGTAACTCCTAAATTTATATTTACAACCACTTAAGAGACTATATAAAACCATGCAATTTGTCTTAAGTTTTCCCAAAATGCTCTACATATTAAGGGGCTTTCTGCATGCACACCTAAATGTCATTCACCTCTGTACAAACATTGTATCATACTGAAATAAAGTGTCTTATCTTATCTAAAAGATGTATACAGTAGTAATATTGTTGTTTAGATGAATTTTTGCCTGTACATAGCACATGTTTTGTTGGCGAGGGGCTTGGACTTCCAGCAAGCGTGTGTGAGCGTGTTAGATAGGAGTGAATGGAGACGAATGGTTTTAGGGACCTGATGAGCTGTTGGAGTGTGAGCAGGGTAATATTTTGTGGAGGGATTCAGGGAAACTGGTTAGCCAGACTTGAGTCCTGGAAATGGGAACTATAGTGCCTGCACTTTAAACGAGGGTGTGGGCTATTGGCAGTTTGGAGCTGTTGTATCTGAGCGCCTTTGCAAAGGCAGTGATTATGTGATTATGCATGAGTGATGGTGAAAGTGTTGAATGATGATGAAAGTTTTTTCTTTCTTTTTTGGGTTTTTCTTTCTTTTTTGGGTCACCCTGCCTCATTGGGATATGGCTAATGTGTTAAAAAAAATTAGCACATGTATAAGATATTATTTAGAATGTTTGAGTGGAACAATTACATAGGGTTCAGTAAGTTGCTAAATTTTGTCTTTTTGGTTTCTTTTGTAAGCTATTCCTTAGTTTGTACTTCTTTTTTGTGGGGCCTGCATAAATGTAGGTGAATGTATAGAATCTCAGAGGTATTTATTTTGTTCAAGGTGCCCATGGGTTCTGTTGCAGCTTTGGAAAAAAAGAGTGTGCAAGAGTGAATGAGTCAGTGAGTGAGTGAATATGTCTGTCTGTCTGTCTTAAATCTGGGTTTGTCTTACAGTTCAGGGTGCTGAAGATTTGAAGTGCAAAGCTTGTGTGTTTAGTAGGCTAAGGGATGATGTGTTTTGTTGAAAGAGGTTTCCAAATGTTTTCAGCATTACTTTTTATTGCTAATTCTCTGTTTTGGATTTCTCATTGTTTACTAGAGGTAAGGGCAAGTCTGTACTTCTTTGTGTAAGTTGTTGTGTATTAGTTGTTTATTGTATTCAGTGAATGCTGTTTATTGCAGAGTTTTTATTTTTATTTTAAACAGGAAGCTGTTTAATTATGTGCTGATGTTTTATTATATTTTTGTCTTTCCTTCCCAGTTTATTCTTCTTACTGCTGTGATTCATGTGTTGATGTCTAATTATAAGAGTTAACTTTAGTTTCTTGGCTTTTAATAGGTACGGTAGTGATTTGTGGTCCTATCAGTATTTTTGTCACCTTTTAGTGGAGCTATTATATTAGTCTAGATTTAGTCTAGTGCAGAAGCAGATGTCTAAGTGATTTTGATTGGCTTAGTAACTGAAGGTTTTAGCAGGCAGGCATTATACTATTCAGGAAGTTTAAGAACTGGGGATTGTTGGATTTACAAAGATCATGATTAAACTTGTTGACAGTTATTAGATGATATAATGCATAGCTTAATGATTATTTGTTACAGTGTGTAGCTTCACATCCAGAGACACGGTCTCAGTTCCTGGCTGCTCACATTCCTCTCTACTTATATCCATTCTTGCAAACGGTCAGCAAGACACGCCCCTTTGAATATCTGCGCCTCACTTCTTTGGGTGTCATTGGTGCTTTAGTCAAGGTAAGAGTAACTAGGATGTTATTTATTTTGACTTGTCCATCTTCTCTGTCCCATTTATTCTTACAGTAGGTGAAACTATTACTTTAGCATAAGTATTATTTTTAACTGTAAAACAAGTAAAACTGGGAACTTTCTAGCTCCATAGATTCAAGAAAATTCCTTAACCAGTTACTCATATACAGTACAGTAGAGACCTAATTAATGTGTGGGCTGTTTCCCTGAAAACCTATGCTTTAGATGAAAAGGAATTATGTGGATTGAAAATTTGGAAAATTGGGAAAACTGGGTTAAGTTTATGACACCTCAAAAAACAAAAATCATGCAAGTATTTTAAATTTCTTAATTTGTCAAAAATAATTAAGTTTTTCATACCTCACACTTTAGGCGTTTATTCATAAATGTGTGGAAAGGGTTGACATGTTCCTGTACAAATGTGCCTAGCAATATCAGCTACCATTGTCTGCCGACATGGTAAAAACATCAGTAAAAATAAGCCACATATCCTTACCAAATCGTGTCAGTAGTTGATATTGCTTTTTGATATGCAAGTGTGAGGAGAGGGATGATTTGGCTTTGCACAATACCTGTATAAACAGGGGTCAAGTCTTAGCTGCTGGATTTGCCTCTCAACTTCCTGCTTGCCAGATTCAATTCCTCTTAGCCTTGTGGGCCTTATCATACCTGCTCTTAAGCTATGTATAGAGCCTGCCTCCACCATTTCGCCAAGTTTATTTCATTTTCAAACCACCCTGAGACTTAAGAAATACTTCCTAACATCCCTGTGGTTCATGCATGTCTTTAACCCCTAAACGATCCAAATGCATATATATGTTCTCTCCCCCCAGTGCCCCGAATATTTTGAAAAATAATTTTTTTTTTTCATTGAAATACAGAGAAAAAATTTCTAAGTGTAATAGGATTAAAATAAAAAATTAGGGTCAGTACTTCCTGAGATATGAGGCTGCAAAGTTGACACTTAACCCTTTCAGGGTTTCTGACGTACTAGTACGGCTTACGCACCAGGGTTTTTGACGTGCTAGTACGCCTAAATTCTAGCGCCCTCAAATCTAGCGAGAGAAAGCTGGTAGGCCTACATATGAAAGAATGGGTTTATATGGTCAGTGCGCGCAGTATAAAAAAAATCCTGCAGCACACAGTGCGTAACGAGAAAAAAAAAACTTTGACCATGTTTTTGGATTAAAACAGCGACTTTGCACTGTATTTTCGTATGGTATATATTGTTGTATTCTAGTTTTCCTGGTCTCATTTTATAGAATGGAATACATATTACAGAAATTGAGACGATTTTGATTGGTTTTACAATGAAAAGTACCTTGAAATTAAGCTCAAAGTAGCAGAAATCTTTGATTTTTGCCAAAGTTCAAAAGTAAACAAATCATGCTACGTGTCCAATACACGTCAACTGGTGAGTCTAATATTCATTCACAAATGCGCTGATATTATTTATACCATTTCTACACTAATGCAGTAGTCTGCATAACAGTAAATCTTTTATTTTTTTTGTGAGAATAAAACTTCAAAGTGGAAAGCAAAAGAATGTAAGAGGGGCGTGAGGACATGACTAATGAACAGAGGAAATGTTATTTTAGTGCCAGGAATGTCTTTCTTGTTTATTCTGGACCCTGTTCGGAAATTGGCATCTTTTGAAATGTGTGTGAAATTGGCAAAATTGCTAAATTCTGACCACTTTATTGGATAGTTGAAATCGGTAAATGGATGGTTTCTTGTACTCATTCGATAGAAAAAATGGAGTTCTAGCGAAATAGTTATGATTTTTGTCGACTAGTACACTGGAATTGGCCGAAAATAGGGCTCAAAGTGGGCAAAATCGTCGATGTGTAAACATCGTCGAGAGCACTAAGTTTGCAAGAGCATAATTCCATAAGTTTTCCATCAAATTTCATACTTTTGGTGTCATTATGATCAGGAAAAGATTCTCTATCTTTTCATAAGAAAAAATTATTTTTTTTTTTTTTTGAAAATTTGTCGACCCTGAGAACAAGTCTGTCGACCCTGAAAGGGTTAATGCTCACCTGACGGCAGCATTGAGTCCTGCTTGAGGAAGTGTTGCCAATATACCATTTTTTCTCATTTTTATATTTTATATAATTTTTATGTTCTGATAATTGCAATTTATTGTATTTCTTGGCATTTCATAACCAATCTTTGTTCTGACACTAATATTAGGTACTGAAATTGTACTCAGAATGTCACAAACACATTGACAGGTGGACATTTACACCTGCCTTGGCCATTTACTATTGTCTAGGAATATATACAAAATATTTATAGGTCCCAGCAATGTTTTGGATACACGGGAGTAGAGGAGGAGGAGGAGGAGGAGGAGGAAGAGGAGGAGGAGGAGGAAGAGGAGGAGGAGGAAGAGGAGGAGGAGGAAGAGGAGGAGGAGGAAGAGGAGGAGGAGGAAGAGGAGGAGGAGGAAGAGGAGGAAGAGGAGGAGGAGGAGGAGGAATAGGAGGAGGAGGAAGAGGAGGAGGAGGAAGAGGAGGAGGAAATAGGAAGGAGGAAAGAAGGGGGGGAGGAGGAGGAGGAGGAGGGAAAGAGGAGGAGGAGGAAGGAGGGAGGAGGAGGAGGAAGGAGGAAGGAGGAGGAGGAGGAGGGAGGAGGAAGGAGGAGGAGGAAGGAAGAAGCTCCCTTGAAGCAATGCGAGAAGCGTCCAGGAGGGCAGTGATGAGATATGGGATGACATTTGATGGGCGCCAGCGAGGGTGCAGAGATAAAATAGTATAGAGATAAGAGGAAATAAGCTGTGACATTTGATGGGCACCAGCCGGGGTGCAGTGATAAGGGATGACATTTGATGAGCTCGTCTCTCTGTCTCTGATTGTCTGTCTGTCTTGTCTCTCTGTCTGCTTGTCTCTTTCCGTCTCTGCTTGTCTGTCTGTCTCAGAGAGAGCCACTGTGAACCAACAGGTATTCATATGCATTATGTCTACAAGCACAGTATAGCACTTCGGATTTTTTAGGTTATCCTAGGTAATTTACACTATAATTGTGTGTACCTTACTTCCATTCTTTACTTCCTCTGTATATTTACATATTTCCTCTGGTATGGGTTCCATACTGGCATTGCATACTCCAAGTTGGGCCCAGAAAGACTTTCTTGAGATACCTGAAATCCATTCTCAGATTTGCCAAATGCGCTTTGGCTGCAGAGGTTATTCTGTGGCAAGCAATATTAACTGCCACCACCACCATCACCTGTAATTAGCATGTCGATTTTGGTAAAATAAGTCATATTTCCTTATCAAATTATGCCAACCATGTAGGAATTTACCACAAGTATACCAAAAAAGCATATACTAAAGATGAATACATTTGAGAAAATAATAGCTAAGAAATATGTATAGTGTAAGGGCTGTGACTCATTGAGCTGTTATCACTCCTTCACTACCTTATTATTAATCATCAACATATTCATCAGTTGTAGAAATTTAGCCCACAGTAGGGGACATGTTTTAAAAGGTTTGCACAAAAATTGTTTTAAATTTCTGGGGCATTGGGGATCATTTTTTTTAAAATTCATTTTGAATACGACTAAAAATTTTTCCGTGCATTTTGGGAAAATATATTCCCTCATTTTTTGGGGGTTTTCTACGTTTTTTCTTTACAACACTGTATTTTCAGAATGATTCCCAGTAGTTTTGTTAGTTTGGGGGAAAAAAATTTGTTTGAAAAAAATATTATTTTTTATCCCAAAAAAAAAAAATTTGGGTTTTACTTTTTTGTGCTTGGGGGGGTACATTTTTTTAAAAATTTGGTTTTTTTTTAGGGACCTCTACAGACCGACGAAAAAAGAAGTTTTTTAAATTTCTTACTAACAATGAGATACCCCACTCTTTTTACTTTATTAGGGAAATTCGGGGTAAGAGTGAGAAAGGGACTGTGGCTACTTTCATCTTAAAAAAGGATCCCCCCAGTTTTAAAAACGGGGACTAAACTATATTTGCCGGGTTTTATTTTTTTATAAATGTAATTTTTTTTAAAAGTTTTAAAATTTAGGACTGTTTACAGAAATTTCATGATTTTAAATTTTTATTTGGTTATAGAAGTTATAAAATTTTAAGGAAATGGTTTACAGAATTTTTGTAAGATATTCCCGGTACTGGTTACAAAATTTTTTTAAAAGATTTTTAAAGGTATGGTTATGGAAGTGATTAAAGGTAAAAAGGGTTTAATTGGTTAAAGAGATAAAAAAGTACTGGTTATAAAAGTGATCATAAGATTTTTAAGGTACTGATTATAAAAGTAAAAGGGTTTGTATCTGGTATGAGGGGAATGGATGGGGAAATTTTTGAAGTGGGGAGGTATGTGGTTTGAAGTTTGTTATTGAAGTGAAATAAGCCACTTTTGCTGGAAATTCCCAGAAAACCCTATGTGTGGGTTATCTGTGTTTTCCCAAAGCACAGTGGCTTATTTAAAATTTAAAATAACCCCTTCGGGCCAAACATACCCCCTCAAAAGGTATGTGGTGGAAAAAACTTATGGCAACTTTTCGGTCCAACTTGGCCTTTTTATAGTCTTTGTAAAGGGGTTCCGGGCCCAAAGTCAAACCCAAAACAGTTAAAAAAGCTCCTCTTCCTATATGCGGTTATTTGTGTATTTTTCCCAAGGTCTTGGTTTTGGTACCTTTTTTTTTTTCACTGTGCTGGGCAGGTTAGGTTTTTGGTAACCTATGACAGCCCAATGTACACAGAAAAGGCTCAATAAATAATTTTTTTGTTAATGGCAGGGGAAAGAAATCCCAATTTTGTTTCTCAGTGTGCAGGACTTTTCACAGGAAAAGACGGTAAATTTTCAAAGTTTTGGGGAAACTCATAAAAGGGTGGTTAGGGCCCCTGACTAAATTTTTATGCGGTAAATTTTCATTTAGGGGGCCCATCACCCTTCCAGTTACTAAAAATTGATAAAATTTTTTTTTTTTCTTGAATATGGCGGGTAGGTCAAATTTAATCCCA